CTTTTATTTAATAAAAGTAAACAATAATTCTTAAAATGTGGGGTTAGAATAACAGCAAACGCATGTTTTACAAACGCTTTTTTTTAGTTATTATTTTATTTGAGTAAATTTAAATGGTAACAATGAATAAACAAAACATCAAGGATTTTATTTTTGTGCTTACATTTGTTCTACACGTTTTACTTTCAAAGATTTCAGTACCTAAAAACGCCAGAAATTTCACTATTTCTCGGCCGGGAATATGGCCACCTTAACATATTCTGAATACGGTATTCACCACGTTTTATAATTGAATGTGTTTTTCGTATACCTTATTATGTCACTTACACAATAAGTGTAGTACCTACCTATTTAAAATGACACTACTCGTATAGCTAACGAAAAACACAAAATGAAAAAAAAAACATCTGAAGATGAAACTTGCAAATATTATAACGACATTCTTTTACATCTTATATTTTTACATTTAACATCGAATAATTTGATGTACTCGTTATCCATAACACATTTACATTTTACGAGAGACAAAAATTTTGTATTATACAGGGTGTCCGGAAATGATGAGCAAAAAAATCAGGGGATAATTCTAGACCGAAAATAAATCCTACCTCTTTCTATAACATTTTTTCCAAAACTGATTATTAACGGAGTTACAGGGTGTTAAAGTTAAATTTTATTTGCAGTTTTTTTGCAATNTATACAGGGTGTCCGGAAATGATGAGCAAAAAAATCAGGGGATAATTCTAGACCGAAAATAAATCCTACCTCTTTCTATAACATTTTTTCCAAAACTGATTATTAACGGAGTTACAGGGTGTTAAACTTAAATTTTATTTGCAGTTTTTTTGCAATACCTTTTGCCACACTCATAATATTTTGACGTAATTTCGTATATGGGTTTTTTTCGGGACGAGGATTATGAATTTGCCCACCGTTTTTTCGCATTTTGTGGAGGACGCCACATACGAGCCTTTATTTTGATTTGAATGGTTCCATCTTTTTTGTGCTACACTTTATGCGACTTTTGACTAAATATTTTTGTTCTCCTAACCTTTTGACATAAAAAAGGTATACTAAACGCTAAAATAACATTGCTTACATATGATGAATACAAAATCATTTTAATTTATTTTCTACATTAAACATAGCATGCTTTGGAAACAAGCGCTTAGTTGCCTTGGAAACAAGTTTGTGGAGAATTATCAAAATACGTTTTCCGTCAACGTGTGGGCCGGTTTTGTAAGGGACTACTTAATTGGGCCACATTTCTTTCCACAAAGACTCAATGGTGAAGTTTACTTGGATTTGTTGAGAAACAACTTACCTATTCTATTGGAAGATGTACCACTCGGATTAAGAAATGCAATGTGGCTGCTTCAAGATGGCGCGCCACCGGATTTTAATTTAGCGGCCAGAGAATTCTTGAATGAAACTTTTCCTGAAAGGTGGATTCCTAGGACGCGGTGGTTTTGTACAGTGGGCCCCTAGATCCCCTGACTTAAACCCAACCGATTTCTTTTTTTGGGGCTATCTGAAGACGCTTGTATACAGGACAACTGTGAATAGCGTCGATGAACTGAGAGAAAGAATCGTTGCTAATTGTGAGGTAATTAAGCAAAAGGAAGGAATATTCCATAGAGTTCGTCGGAATTTGTTAAGAATAATTCATTTATGCATTGAAGAGGAAGGACGTCACTTTTAAACCTTTGAGTTGAATGTTTAATTTGTATTTGTATTGTTCTAGTAACTTAATGTATGTATTTTAACCTTATGATTTTGTTAGTAAACCATTCTTTATTTGTTGAGGACGTTATTTTTTTATTATTTATCATTAACCACCATCAGCGTAACAACAAATTTTCACAAAAATTACTATCTGTCAAAACTAATTCTCCACAAACTTGTTTCCAAGGCAACTAAGCGCTTGTTTCCAAAGCATGCTATGTTTAATGTAGAAAATAAATTAAAATGATTTCGTATTCATCACATGCAAGCAATGTTATTTTAGCGTTTTTCTCGAAAACGGTTA